TTTTAAAAGGATTCCCTTATTTAAAACATTCTCAGGCTATATCTTTTTCAAGAACAAACAAACAACTTTGAATGTCTTTACTACAACATCAAATTATATTTAATCATCTAACCTTAAGTTATTCAATAAGTATGTTTCATTTTTGTTCCACGGAGTACATTACAACTAAGTGGAAACTAAAAACGTGAAAAGATACTGGACACAAAACATCCATTAGGCATCCTTTTAACAACATGTTCCATTGCAAATTTGTTTAATCTAAGTAGGTAAAAAAGCATGTATTTGTGTAAAAAGAAATGTACCATCTACAAAGAAAGACTATTTTTAATTGAAATTAATTTTTGTTCTCAACTCTACTCAGAGCATACTAAATCAATAAAACTTTGATTAAAGGACATCTCTTCTTAGGTGTGTTAATGAGGAGTTTAGGTTTAGGATGAACTTTCACAGTACATGAAATTAAGTTTCTCTTAGCACCATATAAATACTATTTTGCTTCTTCTAGAAAAGTGTAATTTTAAAAATGAACAAATTATTTCAGGTCTTAATGTAGCTAAATATTTCTTCTGGCACATACATGTAATTCAGTATTTGAAATGAGAAATAATCAGTATTTCGGGACAGGAATTTCAGTTTTGGATGATACAAGAATTTCTTCCTCAGTGCCTTTCCTATTCCTGACTTGAGTTGAGATGTAATTTCCTGGAATTATTTAAACAGAATATTGATTAAATTAATCCTTTATACAATCTGTTTTATTTTTTTAATTTTTATTTGTTTATTTTTTTGAGACAAGAGTCTCACTCTAGCAAGGGCTGGAGTGCTATGGCATCAGCCTACCTCACAGCAACCTCAGACTCCGGGGATCAAGTAATCAAATCTCTTGCCTAGCCTCCCGAGTAGCTGGGACTATAGGCCCACACCACCACGCCTGGCTAATTTCTCTGTTTTCTAGTAGAGACAGGGTCTTGCTCTTGCTCAGGCTGGCCTCAAACTCCTGAGCTCAATCCATCCTCCTGCCTTGGCCTCCCAGAGCAGTAGAACCACAGGCATGAGCCACCACTCCAGCCTATATAATCAGTTTTTATTTTATTATTATTTTTTTTTTGAGACAGAGTTTCGCTTTGTTGCCCAGGCTAGAGTGAGTGCCATGGCATCAGCCTCGCCCACAGCCTGCCTCAGCCTCCCAAGTAGCTGGGACTACAGGCATGCGCCACCATGCCCGGCTAGTTTTTTCTATATATATTAGTTGGCCAATTAATTTCTTAGGGGGTGTGGAGTGGATGTAAATTTAGTCCGGGACCCCCCCCCCGTGTTGAGCTTTTTAGGTGCATCTGAATTTCATGGCTGGCTCCAAAATAGAGCCATCTGGGAGGCTCTACCTGGCTTCTCCACGAGAAAGTCAGAGCTGGGACCCTAAATTCCCTACCCCCTGAGGCTGCCATGCATGCATGACGAATGAGGGAATTAATAGTAACGATTTACCATTGGCGAGCACTTGAGTTTTCATTATACCGTTTGCTAAGTGAGTACCCCGTGATGGATGTCTTGAGTCAAAATATGCCTTGCAAGAGAAGCGATCGCAGCACCAGGGGCCAAACACAATGGAAAACGCAAAACAGAGTTTTCAGATAAGGTCCCTGTCCTCAAGGAGCCAATCTTGGAGTCTAAGAAAGAAAGCTAGCACTCTTGAAACGGGCGTAGCTAAGATGAACAGCCAGACTTTTGAGTACAGTAGCAGGTAAGAGACAAGTCTGGCATGCAGAATAGGCTGGCTTTAGTCAGGTCATGGAGGAGGGCTTTGAAGGGTAGGTAGAGGATGGAAGAAGCAGGACCTGAGGAAAGACAGTTGAGAGAAACAACAAAAAACTAAAGAGCAGCAGCAGGAATGAGTGGTGAAAGTGAATAACAAGAAGGTCAGCCTAGTTGGACTGGAGACAGAAATGAATGATTGGAGCCCTTTTCCAGCCCTTCCCCATTTTTCAGTGTTCTGGTTCATCTACCAGGGAGGTAGTAAAAGAGTGGGAGAGGCAGGCTTGAAAGAACAAAAACTTTCATGGAAAATCTGCTCTGTTTGCCACGAAAGAAAGTTTATGTCTTTATTGGAAAGAAAAGCAATATATCTGTAATACCTGCTTGTGAATTCATGTTCAGAAAGAGGGTATAGAAAGTATAACATTGTAAATCTCTGCAAAAGTAGACACAAACAGTGTTGTCA